TAGTATAAATTATGATGGATCAAGAAGTGTTTGACCAAGGCTGCTTTCTGATAGTTGATATTTCTAATTAAAAATGTCAGGAAGTACCATGAAAAGTGCACAAAAGGAGTTTAATTTTGCTCCATGAGTGACATAATAAACAGGGTTGATTATGAATAATAAAACCGCGTGGAAGACATAAAAATCAGGTAAAAGGAGCAGCCTCGAGAATTTATTATGTATACCAGTCCATAATCACTGACTCGATGGGAACAACTTATGGAATTTACTCATGCAGCAAATATTTTAAAATATAATGACCAGAAAATATCGATACCTGGCTTCCCACCCAAGTATCTCAGCCATTCCAACGAAGGACAATAGAAATGGAACTCCAATCTTTGCAGCTTGAATTGCGAGCTCCCTATGACCAATATGCAGGGCATCAAACTTTCCCAGTGCTACTATTCCTCCTAATATGTGAACATCAAAGAAAAATCATCAATTACGACTAATGGAGATATTGAACATGCTTGCGTGAAATAAGTACCTTTGATTGATAAGACAGTTCACGTTTTGAATGAAGAAAATATATGACCACGTAGCATTACTAACCATTGTGCGACTGAAATAGCAGTTTTTCAAATTTTATATGGTTAAGTCCAGCAAAACATACCTTCCAAGATATGAGGCAGAACAAAGTCAATGAGCTGTCACAAGGATTTTTTTTTAAAAAAAAAATTAACTAAGGTTGCTACTTGAAGTGTAGACGAATTAACCGCCATTACGTGCAAATTGTTTACACTTTACATACATACAAGAGTACAAGTTTCAAAAAAGTAAGGAGTAATGAAATGGCTCGTGGGCCGAAAGAACCAACCTGCCAAAGATGATATTCCTTGAGATGGACTTCCATCGTTTTCAGCTGGGCTACTCGCAGTTCAAGGACAAAAAAGGAAAAAACAAAACTTGAGCACTTCAAATCATGTCAAAGGCAAGATGCAAGACATGACAGTGGAATTTCAATCATATTCCTAACCACCACCAACAACAACTTGAGAAGATAAGAGTAATGGAGCCTCGCGTTGGCTAATTGATTGTTTAGGAGATGAGAAAGCAAGCATTAAAGTGAAAGTAGCACAAAATGCTTGTTGAACTTCCACAATTTGTAGCTATCATTCATATGACATAGGTTATCCACTATCGTACACCCAGGAAGTTTATTCGAAAAAATATTACATTACACCAAAACCAAACAAGATTTGAAATCTCAAAATTATTAAAATAATAGAAATTGGAAAAGGAATATATAGAAATTACGTTAAACAATCAGAAAGAAGAGGAGGCTGAGATGCATCACTGTGAATGAATGGGAGTCCAGAGGATTCATCATTATTATTATTGGTAATTGGCAAGGACGACGAAGAAAACGCACAGACACCCAAGAACTTGAATTTCAAAAGCCTCATCGTGGAGGAAGGAAATTTTCGAACAGGCGACCATGGACTTCTCTTCCGATTTCTGTTGCATGTAAAACTGCACAACCCCAATTGGCGAGGATAATAATAATCCCGTAGCTGCTGAGAAATACAAAATCCACTCATCATAAGTGCTTGCTATGTTCGAACAAAATCAAAACCCCACCAACAATTTTGGAACTGAGCAAGGGAGATAATGATTTATTTGGTTTTAAGTTTTACCAGCTAGTTATTTTAGTGTGGATTGTCAGTTATATAAATTGATAAAAAACCAATATTCTTTTTACCCTGACTGGTCCAACGGGTTGACCCGGTCACCCAGTAAGGGTGTGCCATTTGACCGGTCTTGACCTGGTCGACCCGAACATTGACCCAACTGGATCGATTCATTTTGAGCCGGTCTATTTATACTTTTTATTTTTAATTTTTTAAAATATTTTTTGATGTAAAAAAATATATGTATATATTTATATCGTAAATATTTATGGCAAGATACAGCATTATTAAAACATTAGGTCAAAGAATAAATAAGGGAAAATTTCATGACAAAAAAAGGACTTAAGAATCATAGTCAATTCAAACTTGGGTATCGGTTAGCTCTTTATTAAAACATATTCTAGTTTGCTCCCACCCAACAAAAGAATGAATCAGACAACATGAGATCCATTCAATTAGACTTCCTTGACACCATCAACATCACCAACAGTTGAATTTATTTCCATGATTAACAATCATCCTAATTTCTGTGTATTTTTTATTAGGGGTTTTGACAAAGTGGGCAAATCCCAAATAACACCCAAACAAGATGCTTATGAACGCTCTGGAAGAAAATTAACCAATTTTCATCATATTTTAGCTGTGTGAACTTTTTCCTATGTTTTTTTAGTAGGTTTTCTGCAGGAGAATGAGCAAAGCCTCAAAATATTTGAGACGATGATCCAATCTTCAACATATTTTGACTATGCAATTCTAATAATATTTTCACTCGTTCAAATTTATAATATATAGCCGGACGTGTATGCCAAAATTATATCTAATCGTCATCTGCTTTGACAATTCATTTGGTGTTTGTACATACTATGTTGTAAGCAAGCAATACTTGTTTAAGATGAATGTATTACTCATTTTTCATGTGAATTCAGTACTTCTGCGGTATATAAATTTGTTTAAGATGAATGTATTACTCATTTTTCATGTGAATTCAGTACTTCTGCGGTATATAAATTATTCTTTTTTTTTTCTATGTTAGAATTAAAGTTTATCGTGTGTAAGATGGTGTTGAAGTTGCTAGGTCGTCCTATTAACAAAGAATGAGAAAATAGAAGGAAATAATGCAATAATAAATCACTCATGAAAGCACAAAGATCAGTCAAATACAAAAAATGATGACCCATTGTCACTTTGCTTGATGATTGAAAGTTCGCAATATATGGGATGCAAAAAGTCTTGATAATTACATTGTGATCCATCTTTTTTTTTTTTATAATGGAAATATAGTCGAATAACAGGGCATAAGCGTACCTGAGATGAACGTAGAAATACACTGCTTGCAAGGTCCTCCTTTAAGAACACAGGAATAGGTGGCATTTGGCTCATAATTCCAGGCATTTTTCTCATGCTTCAAGATAAAATGAAAATAAGCTAGACTAGATAAAAAAGGTATAAGCTCCTAAACCAAAGGTAATGGACCAATAAGCATAACATACTTATTCAAGTAGATAAAGACTAAGAAAACCATTTGTGTGTAACAAAAAATAATTGATTGATAGACCAACATATTCAAAATTAAATATGTATAAAACACTAATCATTTTCAATATATTGCTGAATTTTTCTTTTTACAAAACAAACGCAGCACGGCCGAACTAGCAGCAGCCAGCAGGACCACATAAAAATATCATACTCCGGCAAGATATCAAATATTGACATAAAACATAGTTAAAGTCTAGTGCATATCAATGATAAATGTCATCAGGCTACCATGAAATAAGCGTGTGAAATAAAGGCATTGAATACGTAAAATAACAATTAGGGAATATAAAAAAATTTCCAGCAGAAATGAAAAAACCAAGAAACCAACAGTTGACACATATCGCTGATGAGGACAATGATTTGGCATCAACCACGATCCATAAATTTTCTTGCTTCAATTAAAAAAATAAAATAAAATAAAATAAAAAAAAATAAAAAACATGTATAAAATTAAGCATAAGAAAGGTTGAACACTAGCGGCTCAGTATATTAATACAGCTTAAACAAGCCTAAAGCCTGATTCTAGATAACTGAAGGTTCATGCAAAAACATCCTTAAAGCCTTATAAAATACAACCGGAGCAAAGATAAACGAACTGCTACATTGAAAGGTAAAAAAGTCTTCACGAATCAACCAGCCAAGATGAATAATTTATATAGTTATGTCCTCCCAAATCATTGGATGATCATTTCTTAAAATCTAAAGATGTTAGTTCTTACTACGGAAAACTTAATTGACAGCTTCTGCAAGACTCTAAGCCACAGCACAAACTACATTGGATAGGCTACACCTCAAATATAACGAGTAAATGCATTCAAGCAGATGTTAGAATAAAGTGTATAGAAGCCCCACATTCAAAACGCCTGTTGACGAAATATATACTAACGAGACATTTATATGTAACTAGCAACCAAGTTTTTGCTGGAGAGGAAACTCAGTCGCACAGAGAGTTGGACGAGTCTTTCTACTTTGTATGATTGAAAATGCTCTACCTCATGGCCCCATCATTTAGCTGGAAACTGATCGATCCCACTTAGCCATTTGAGAAAAAACCAACAACCAATAACCAAAAGCATTAAAATTTACAGGCATGTGCCTCATGAATGATCTCTACCGGGCAATTTTGCCTTATAAATTTGGATAAAAGGAAAGAGAGCACAACCCCAAAGGCCAGAACTAAATCTACCGCTAATCGACAGGCAAAAATGATATTTTTCAATAACAATACAGGATAATAACAATAAAAAAAAATCATTTCAAATGCTCAAAACAAAATGAAAAGAAATCCCATAAGGGGGATCAACAAAGTTTGTTTCGTTAAGTCTACAAGCAAATTTCAATACAGCCCATAAAACCTTAAAATCCACATTTGCGATTCTACAACAGTCTTTGGCAAGACACATACTAATATCGACTTTGAAGAATGTAAGAAAGCAAAAGATAAAGTCATGAGACATGAGAGAGGATTGAACAACAGTTCGTTAAAAACGGAAAAAATTGTAATAACAATTAAAGAAAAAAAGACATAGTTCGAGTGATGATACCTCGGCCAATACAAATCTGAGTGAGCATGAAAGACGCAGATCTGCGACGCTTGAGCCGTCAGTATCAGATGACAAAAGAGAAGAGGTGTGCCCCCACTTTAACAAGGAACCCTAAAAGATTCTCCTTTGAGCTAACAGCTGCAATAAATTAATCAACCACCAAAACAAAAAAAACTGTAACTTTCACACAATTTTTTTGGTTCGTTCAGTTTTTGGTTTTTCTTTACAAGATTTTCAGCCCCCATTGAGAACTGGGCAGCTATAACGAATATAATTTTTTT